TCAGGATTGTTGTTTTCTCTGTTTGGCTTAGTTTTTCGGATCTTTGCTGTGTTGGGACGGCATGGGGCGTCTGCCTAGAGCGCCATTTTGCCAAAAGTCCTCTGTCTTTGTTTTAACTTTTCTCTTCCTTCTAATTTATCCCATCTTGCTGTAGTATATGTACCTTGATTTAACTAACCTTCAGTATTTTTTGCAACGACTTATTAAATGAAGAGCCTACCAAACAAACATTTCTGTGCTAATTAACTTTCTTCTCCTTAGAGTTTCAGAGTAAGAGTTGATAATAACATTTTTTGTGAAGAGAGTGGTATGGGCCCCGTTATTGCCTCCACATAGGCAAAGAAAGTGTGGATGATAATCAGTTTCAAAGCACCCACTTTTAGTGCCCTGGGGGAGGAGTGAATTTCATCAGCTCCTTGACTAAAAATAGCACACAATTCTTAGATGAGACCTTTTAGAATTGACAGTTTCTAGAGGAAAAGTGGCCCAAATTAAGATAACCTTTATTTGTGTTGAAACTGAGCGTTTGGAATAAATTTTGTTTCAAGTTTTCACTTAGAAGCATTTAACTGAAGAAAAGATTTTACTGCTTCATGGCAAGTGCTTATACAGATATGTTTTTGACCTCCTTCAGTGTGCCCTGTTTGGGACAGAGATCTACATCATATCCAGAAATCAGAATAAAGAGAGAACCCTGTCATACTGGTGTTAATACTTCGAGTACTGTCAGTATTTTATTGGAGTCCCTGGGTGGTGCAGACAGTTAATGTGCTTGGCTGCTAACTGAAAGGTTGGAGGTTCGAGTCCCCACAGCGGCACTTCAGAAGAAAGGCTTCTGAAGACCGTATGGAGCAGTTCTACTCTGACACACTTGGGGTTGCCATGAGTCAGAATCGACTCAACAGCAAGTGTTTAAAAAATATTTTTATCACGATGTTCTTTTATTTGCGCTGCATGTGATGCTGAATGGTAATCTGATTTTCAAGTGTGATTTTGTTGTTGAAAAATCAGATTGATTAATAGTAGTTCTCTCCCTCTCTCTTTTTTTTATAGTAGTTCTGTTTGTAGATGATTTTGTTCACCCACACCTGTTCTCTAACTTGAAAGCCCGCTACATCAAATGGATGACCTGTAAACATGGTTTGATTTATTAAAAGGTCCGCAGTCAATTATTGGTCAGTCTGAGACTCAGACCATATTCTTAGCTCCTGGTCAGTGCTAGGAGCCCTGGTGGTGCAATGGTTAAGAGCTTGCCTCCTAACCAAAAGGTCGGCAGTTCAGATCTACCAGTTGCTCCTTGGAAACCCTACGGGGCAGTTCTCCTCTGTTCTGTAGGGTTGCTATGAGTTGGAATTGACTCGATGGCAATGGGTTTAATGGTCAGTGCTAACTGTAAGTCTCAAGGAGGGTAGATAAAGCTACTGTGTTTGTTTTCCTTGTCCACTCATATCTAAAACACGCAAGGAGCTAAAATACACGTATCATTACCAAGTATTTCAGTCTTTGAAGTTCTCATATATCTTAATGGCCAGTACAAGAGTTTTAGTCAAACTCAGACAGTTCAAATTCATGTCACAGTGATGATACATTTCTCTTTTTGGCTATATGAATTTAATCTATAGGAACGCTTGAGAACTTTTGGCAAAAAAAATCCCCAATGTTTATAAGCTGTTCTAATAAATATGTTTGAGATGTAATTAAATAGAATTTATTTTCTTTTTCAGTTCTATCAGGAGGACCGTTGCCTCAAGGGCATGAATTTGAACTGTATGAAGTTAGATTTCACTGGGGTAGAGAAAACCAGCGTGGTTCTGAACACACTGTTAATTTCAAAGCTTTTCCCATGGAGGTAAGAATAAAGAATCGTGCAGTAAAACTCTTGTTGTTTATATAAAATGTTCAGCAATTTACTGAAAATGGCTTAGTTTGAAAGGAGATGCAGAGATCTTGAATTATATAGACTTGTATTAAAATAAAAAAGTGGTTTGTGAAATGCGAGCTTGGGGTGGCACATGAAGCTTCATATCTACTTCAATGGGCTTGGAGTATGCACAGTCTTGTATGAGCAGTTGGTCATAAAGGTAATCTGCAGTGTTCGTTTCCTTTAGTATTATTAACTATTATAAAAATTCTGCTGCCTCTGCACATTCAGCAGGTCACTGGTAGATCCTATGAATAGGTGATGAGCTGAAAAACAAATCTGGAGAAACCTCAACAGTGATTAAAAGTCTGGTTTAGCTCTGTTTAAAATTGATAGGATGCTTTTATTCACCCCAGGCCGTGAGAGAGACAGAGACAGAGATAGAATGTAGGGTCATTCTTTTGCCTGATGAATTCCTTCCCCCACTTATCTTCTTGGTCAACTGCTACTTTTTTTCAACATCCAGTTGATACATCGTTTCTTCTGTGGGACTTTTCTGAGCTCCTTTGTTGTCGTCGTTAGTTGCCACCGAAGTGATTCCAACTCAGAGGCGATCCCAAGTGTGCTGAGTAGAACTGCTCCATAGAGTTTTCAAGGCTGGCCTTTTGGAAGCGGATAGTCAGGCCTTACTTCCAAGTCACCTCTGAATGTGTTTGAACCACCAGCCTTTCAGTTAGTAGCTGAGTGCTTAACCATTTGTGCTACTCAGGGACTCCTCTGAGCTCCTTAGGCAGAATTAATTTTTCCCTCTTCTGTGCCCCCAGTATACTTGATACGTCACTGGCATAGCACTGACCCTATGTATTGTAACATTTATTGAATATCTTAGTTACCTAGTGCTACGTAACAGAAATACCGCAAGTGGGTGACTTTAAACAACAGAAATTATTTTCTCACAATTCTAGAGGCTAAAAATCCAAATCAAGGTCTTGACTATGTTGATTCCACTTGTGAGCCTCTCTTCTAGTTTCTGATATCTGCTAGTGGCCCTTTGCTTGTAGATAGGTTCTCACATGTTATCTGTCTTCCCCTTTTGCATCTGTCTCTATGTCTGTTCTGATCTTTTTATAACTCAGAAATGATAAGGTTTAGGATCCACCCTATACTGGTATGACCCCAACTGATTGATTGATTTTATCACATTAGATTGCATTATGGAAAGGCAATTGCATAATGGAAGGTGATTACACTGTGTTTTGTGTGAGATGATTACATTACATTATATTACATTATGTTATGGAAGGTAATCTGCTCTACCCACAGCCAACTGATTTAATCACGTGACTCCTCCATACAGCAAAAAGACTAGTGTTTGGCCAAAGAGCTGGGAACCATAGCCTAGCCAAATTGACACATAAAATTAACATTGAGCAATATATCTTTCCTGACTTGACTGTGAGCTCCTTGAGGACATGGTCCCCCTCTCACTCAGCTTTTTCCTCCCATCATCTAGTCCATTGCTTTGCATGTTTTAGACAAACAGCCTGTGCTTGTGAAATTGAGGGTTTGTCCCTTTTGGCCCAAGTCTTGTTACAAAGAACTGCAGTTGGCACTTCTCCCCAGGAAATAGCCCTTTGGTGGGGTATAAGAGGGCACTGTGCGTGTATTTCAGGGACTGCTGGAATGCCAGTCTTTGTTCCTAGTTGTACATGTGCTTCGTTAAACATGGAATTGCTCTTGGTTGAACACCACATCCGGTCCGTCCTCAGTGACTGAGTCAGTACTGTGTAATTTTATATAAACAGTGTGCATCCTTTAAAGGACGAAGTTACATAAAGTGTCTCTCAAAATTACTTTATCAGTTTTTTTAAATCCTTGTGAAAGCTCAGGTTATTTATTTCATTAAAAAAGACTTTAGTCTTAAAATTGAAATATTCATTGTTTTAAGGAAGTAAGAAATGTCAAATGAGACTGTTGTTCATTCCAACAGTAAGTGTTTTATGGGAGATTTGCTATCTCATAGATAGGAATCTTTTAGTCCTTTGTTCATTCAAAGCAATGTTTATTAAGCCTCTACCATGTGCCTATACTATATACTTGGTTCTGGGGACAGAAGGACAAATAAAGGTGGTCTTTTCCCTCAAGGTCTGTACCAGTTTATAGCCTGGTATAGTGATTCTCAACTTGTGGTGATAGTCATAATTGATTCTGGAGTTCTAAAAGTCTATGGATGTCTGGCCCTACCCAGACCTGAAGTAGAAGCTCTAGGATGTTAGGGCCCAGAGGCATCCTTGACCTTGGTACAGGTGTCAAAGATGGAAGCCTTCCCAGGCTTTGTCTCAGAAGCCCACTCAGACCACTTCTGACGTTTTGAGTGGATTCTTGGCCAGTGGGGGTGGGGAATGTCATGGCATAGATGGTCAGGCTAGGAGGCGGATCCTTCCCATTCATGTTCCCATAGAGGACGTCCTTTCTGGGTATTAGAGGTTCTCAGGACGCCTCAGGGAACCATGACACTCTTAGGCACTCTCCGATCTCTGTCAGATCCCGCCATCAATTCTAAGCTTAATGGTCTTTAATAACCTCCAATGGAAGAGCCACTGCCTTCACCTGAGAACATACACTTCTGAGAGAGATGTGTGACCTGCACGAGATGGAAATATGAGCAGCTGACAAAGATTGTCTTTCTGACTTGTCATGTGATGTCCCCCTGATTTGTAACCTCACATCACCCTAACCCTCACCCTCACCTCATCCTGACCCACACCCTAATCCGTACATCACCCTCACCGCACCCTGACATTTACCCTCAACCTTGTCCTCTCCTCACCCTAACCCTAACCTAATCTTCACCCTAACCCTCACCCCCACCCTCAGCTCACCCTAACCGTAACTCTCACCCTAATCCTAACCCTCATTTTTACCCTAACCCAACCATAACCTTCACCCTTATAACTCTCACTCTCACCTTAACCCTTAGTGTACTACCATTGTGTGCTGGGCCACCCTTGACAGTAGTCTGATATCAGTGGTCAGTATCTGCTGCACCCTTGTTTATCATTCAGGAGCCAGGACCTGTTACCTGGAGCTCTACTGGAATAGAAAATAAACCTTTTCCTGTGTCTGAGCAGAGGCAATGCCTGGTGTAGGAGCCAGTTAGTTCCAGGTTGGCGTGGATGGCATTGCCACCATTGTTCTTCCTTGGACAAAGGACCCTTTCTTGCTGCAGAAGAGACATAAGTCACAGCACGGTTATGATGTGTCTGGTCTGCATTTTTCAGTAGTCATTGTGTGTGGGCAGCAGGCAGCAGCTGCCCTCATTTGCCCTGGTTGTGGAGGGTAAGTGAAGGCATTGACGGTGAGGCACTCTGAGCTGCTCGTCAGGTCGGTGATCTCTGAAAACTGGGGCATGCTGATTGGGTCATTTTAACATAGGGCTCCCTGAGGCCTTCTGACACTGGAGCTCACGTATCCAAGGCATCTCACCTGTCTCCTAGTCTTGGGGCTGTCCATCAGTCTTCCCTTGGAAGTGAGCATCAGGATCACTGGCTATTCTCCCTCTTCTAAAAATTCTTTTCTTACGGTGAGTCTAAATGTATATTAAAGTAGACAGAAGAGAATAGTGAACCCCATGAACTTATCTTACAGCTTCAAAAGTTATCCACTCATGACCATCTTGCTTTATCTGTACTCCTCAAATTCCCCTT